AGTCAATGCTGAACTAGTAAGTCCAATTACCAGAAGGGTGGTGGTTGAAACATTGTGTAGTAGGGTGGCAGAGAGGTGTGGGATTTTCAGGTTTCAGAAACTGCCAAGGATCTTTAAGTAGTAACACTTCTTAACTTGGCTCCTTAAAAATGTTTAACTATCATTCCAGGATAAGAATGACCAAGAAGTGACCTTAGATCCCAAGCCATCTACCCATTTTGTTAACAGACAGCCACCAGTACTGAAGAAAAGTATGTTTTTGTAAATTTTAGTATTTGGATCATAGTTCTGTGAGATCTGAAAATTTAGTTATAGGATATTGTTTAATTACTAAATTTCTAATGTGTATTTGGAGTGTATATAAGTTTCAGAAGATGAGATGTTTTCCTGTTTATTTAGATTAAATAGAAGAGCGTAAACAACAGAATAGTGTCAGTAGGCAAACAGCAGAAACCCTCAATATTTATCAAACATTTAAACATTTGCCATATTTCTTTAATATACATTTTTATGGATCTTTTTTCAGGCATCTTTGGGGGAGATTTTCTTGTATGATCTTTTATTAGTTGAGTGATGATTTGAAAACATTTCTTAAGACTGGTTAGCAGTTTCTTCACGTTTATTGCTACACTTTGCAGCTAATATTGACCCAACACGGAGGTATCTTTACCTTCAGGTTTTGGGTGGAAAAGCTTTTCTGGAACATCTACAAGAACCTGAACCCTTGCCTGGCCAAACGTGTTCTACCTTCACTCTGTATTTACTTTTTCGAAACCAACGGTTCCGTTCTAAGCCTGTCCCGTGTGCCTGTGAACCAGACTTTCATGATGGTTTTTTACTTGAAGTGCACAAGGATAGCCTAGGTAAGGAAAACTCTAAGCTTAAAAATAAGTGCCATATGTTGTGCTTACCTTGCAGAGCTGTTTTGAGATGCTGATATTATGACAGATAACTGGCTTATGCAAGTGAAAGTTGCTGCTCTCTGATGCAATCATTTTTCAAGACTACGTTGGTGTTATTGTGATTTTTAGTTGGAAAAGTTGGACTTTTACAGTAACTTTCCACATACGTTTGTCCTTTCAGGATTAGAAAATGTAGACAGATTAGTTTATTTTTGAGGTTGTCAGTGTCCATAACTTATATTAGCTTGTCTATACAAGTGGTAGCCACTTTTATGTGTGTCCTTGGTAGTAGCTTTTGGTACAGCAGTCTCATATGCTGATTCCTTGCAGAGTACAGAAGGAGTGTGGTAATTTAGGCAGCGCAAACACATGTAGGCTGTAAAAGGAATTTAATGGGCAAGATTTTACACTTTTGAAAATCTCAGAAATAATATTTTTCCTGTAATCTTAAATAAGAGGGAATGTCAAACATGCAGGCTGGATCTGGCCTTTAGAGCCATATGGTATGGCCTGTGTGTCTCAGACTGACTCTGCATACCCTGTGCAGCAGATAGAGCTGGTTTGGCCCATGGGCTGATCCAGGTACCACAGATACTGCTTACAGCACAGGGTGCTGGTCTGGGGTGTGCTCTGCTTACAAGCGCCTGTGCTTGGAACAGCCCTGCATGCTGATTCTGGGGTTGCTCCGGATTGGGCTGTGCCAGAACCTGTGCACAAGATCAGTCCAGTGGAGTGCTGCATGCAGTGTGCACCCTATGCAGGCTCCCTGTGCCACATGCAGCATAGGCTGGCCCCACTCTGGGGCTTGTACTATCTGGAGTGTGCAGGCTGAAACCAGCCAGGACACTGCAGGGCACTGTGTGCACTGCATGTGGCACGGGGGCTGGCATATGGCACAGACTGTATGCAGCACCCTGCTGGACCAGCCCTGTGCACTGGCACTGGTGTGCACAGATGGCCTGGGGCCCCATGTGGGCTGGCCCTGGAGCCATTGCTAAGAAATGGTCTGGCAGGGTGCTGCGTGCCATGTGGAGTGCCTGTGGTGCTGGATCCACCCTGTGCTCTGTGTGTAGTGTGCACTAGGCTTATGCTGCCTGTGGCATGTGGACTGGACCTGGTGCTGAGGGAGCTGCCTGAAGCACTAGGAGTCAGCAAAGGATGTGGGCTGCATGCAGCAGCCTGCCAGACCAGTCCTGCATGCTGACTGTGGCACAGCCTGAACTGGCCCTGGAACCAACTTGCCGGTGCAGTTCAGCAGGGAGCCTCATGTAGCAAGTACCTCATGCCATCTCCTTGGGCCACAGCCACTGAAAGCAGCATGGGGGCCAGTGTGTACTGCCTGTGACATGGGGGGGCAGGCACAGGGAGCTCACTATACATAGTGCCCTTCTGGACTGAACTTGTAAGCTGGCTGACTCACTGCCTGGCCTGCACCATAGACTGGCCCAGACACTCTTGGATCAGATGAATTTAGCACCCCAGTAAAATAAGATATGTATAGACTAAAGACATGCAGGGATAGGTCTGTGCCTTGTCTGCCTGTTTTAAGCCCAAAAAGATTATCATATTGTTCAGGGAGAACATACTCCATTTTCTAATGGAAAATATTAAATAGTCATGTTGTTAGGTGCAAATACAGTGAATGATATGTTCTGTCATGGTGAAGCTATGGATGAGGGTTCTGTAAACCTACAGAGACATAGTAAATGTAATAATGCAGATTTTTTATACTAAATCAGAGAACTGGTTCATCTATTTCATTACCAAATGTTTCAGTAGGTGATGTTAGAAACTTTCTGAGAGAGTGGAATAACTTAATAGAGAATGATGCCTCCTAATCTTTAGCTGTTAGTAGCTGGTTTGTGAGTGGATGCATAATGGCTTGCTACTTAAAAAAAAAAAAATAGCTAAAAATAGTTAAAGTTCATTCTACGTGTCTAATATTTCAATACTGCTAAGCCCTTTCTTCAAATATGACTTGGAGCAGTGGGTTCCTGCTGTGGTAAGATAAAAGAATGAAAACAGAAACATTTGATTATATCCTTGTTTTTATATTATTTGAATGGCCAAATATGGTGTGTCTGAACTTTATTTTCTGTCAAATACTGTATTCATTTTCTCTGTCTTTGTATCTTGTCTGTTCCCATTTGTGGTCTTTGTATACAGAGCTCTTAGTCTCTTCATTCTTTACCCATGTGCATGTCTTTCCATGATTTAATCATTATCTGTCTCTGAGCCCTTTGTACATGGGCTCTGTCTCTTAAGAGTGGCCAGACCTGACTGCTTCTAAATACTGTATTGACCTGAATCCCTAGTGACTTTAAATTTAAGATGATTCCCCCCCCCCCCATTAGATTCTGCACATGGAACAGTATACATTTTGCCATAATGTTCCATAGGTGGAATCTAATTATTGGAAAGCAGCAGCAGGAAGGCAAGTGGTGAGGAGGCAAGTGTCCCCTGGCTCTGTACTGGGTCCCTTGCCCCTCTGGCTGCATGCTGGGTTCTGCACTGATCCCTGGCTCAGCATGGAGCCAGAAAGCAGCACAGGTCTCAGTGCTCATACCCTTTCTGCTCTCTGGCTTCACATGGGGTCCTGCTGCTTCCTGGGTCTGTACTGATTCCCTTGTCACTCTCTGGTTCCTTCCTGGGTTGTGTGCTACTCCCTACTGAGCAGGGAAGCAGTAGGGGAATTGACATGGAGCCAGGAAGCAGCATAGGTCCCAGCATACAGCCAGACAGTGGTGAGGGAATCAGCACTGGGTCCTGTGCTGCTCTGTGGCTGTGGACTGAGCCAGGAAGCAGTAGAATCCAAGATGGAGCTAGAGCCATGGGTAGGGAATTAACATGGAACCAGGGAGTAATACAGGGCTCAACAATGCCTGCAGGTATTGCATTTTTACTTAACACTCAATTCTAAGATGAGGCTTCATTTTTCCCCAGGTTGTATAGGGGAAAGCCTTGTCTTGGAATTGAATAAATATGACCCATGCAAAATTTAAAAAACATTGAGGGGTTTAATGGCATGTTCTCTCTAAGGCAATTTAAATGCAAGCTTGTAAAAATAACTCAATCACTGTATTATCCTAATTACAGCATTCTTGCTGTTGGTTTTTATTGTTCTAAAATGGCAGGTGATGGAAGTAAGATGATGGATGCAACCACTATGTTATCTATATGCGATCCAGTGCATATGGTCCTGATCAAAACAGACATGTTTGGTGAGACATCACTTGTAGCATCCTACTTCCTGGAGTGGCGATCTGCCCTTGTTGCAGAGAACAGAATAATAAATATTGCGGTAGAACTCCTGGGCGTAGGTAAGATTTAACATTAAAGTTATAATGACAATACCAAGATTTACACTGTCCATCATGATTTTACTAATAAACATATGACAAGGAAATATTATAGTAAATTCAATGAAATCTGTGATCGGATCTTCTTTAGGCAAAAAACAAAAATTGAATTCCAAATTCTTTTCTGTGATGAATGGGAAGTGGAATTTCCCATTCATACCTGTTCTGTTGTGTAAGTTGCCAGAAATACAGAGCTCCAAAAGATGAAGTAATCTATCAACAAAAAGGGTCTCTGGCCAGTGCTTTACTGAAAAGCCCATTTTTTGCTTTCTTTTGAAGAGGAATGTGCTGGGTTTCTAGCAGGTTGCTGTCCTTGAACCCTAAATAAGGGGCTTCCTGTTCTGTATCAGCCTCCTGCTAGTTGGTGTGTGATGCATCTGAGGTTCTAACTCACATCACAGACCTTTTTCTCCTTTCTCTTTGCCCTGTACCTTTTTGGATGCTACAGAGGTAATAGGTGAATTCTTGAGGCTCTTTAGTCTAACCATGCACAGACCCAGGAGGGAGAAGTCCATGATTTCCAGTCATAGCTCTACCAGATAATTCACTATATATTCTAAAGGATGGGGATGTATCCCTGAACATTTGGGATTTGGTCCCACGTGCTTGGCACCACCCTCTCCCAGCCACCTGGGTGCCACGATTGGGTCCTGGAGCCTGGTGCTGCTCCCACCTGACCCTGCTCAGTAGGATTGAGCACCCAATCCAGTGTGCAGGGCCCCGGGCTCCTCACGTGTTCTGAAATTTGGTGGTGAGGGAGCAGTGCCACCACTCTCCTACCACTAAGTTTCCAGATCTGTGTAGAGCTCCATGGACCAGATTACATGGGGCTGTGAGCCAGGGGTTGAGCACTGCTGGTATAGTGAAGACTCCAGTGAGTAAAACCTAGAATCTAGTTGAAGGGAAAGTAGTCCGTCCTCCTGTTGATTTATCATTTCCAGTAAAGTTCTGTGTTTTTAATTAAATTTAAAAAAAGCATGATGCTAATATTTTCCGTAAGTGTTTTAAAATAAAACTGGATTTGCGTAGGATTGCTACATACAAAGGAAATGAAAGTGTAGTTTTTTATTATATGGGACTGCATGTTATATGAAAAATGTGTTTCAGTCTTGTAGTTATTTTAGTAGATGTTTTTGTTGTTTTAATTAAGTGTCGAAATCAGTAAAGCTGCTAATTTTTATGTTGCTTGGATGCACTTGATTTATTTTGTAGATGCTACCATTTGATACAGCTAGATTATCTGAGACAGACTTGTTTATATTTTACTTTCCACTGTCATCTCTTACACTGTTCTCTGCATTTTTCCATTTGTTTGTTCCAGATATTTTATCAGATTATACTTCTAAATAGTGAGCTCTCTTGGGTAGTAGTTCTTTTTCATTCTGTTTGTACATCTAGTGTAATGGGTCTCTGAACTTCAGTTGGGGTTTCACAGTGTTTGTGCAATACAAATAAGAGGCACGCAAAACTTTAACCTTTTTTTCTCATTATTCGGCATGTAGGAAGCACACATTTCGTCTTGTTTTTAACCTTGAATGTGACACAATTGGAGGGGGAATGCAGGGAATATTTCTGTGCGTTTGTTCTCAGATAGCTGGATGGTGGGGGTAGGACGGGAGGCAGGGGTGGTGTTAAATGACCCTAGATTTCTCAGTGGACTGATTAATATTGCGCTTCAAAGGTACAGAATCAAAAGTTTCTGTTGGAGTCTTAAACATCAGACTTGAAATGTATCCACAGCTGAATAAGATACTATCCCAGGAAATAATTAATACTCAGGTAAGTAATTTCTAATTTATATCCATTGTGTTCTGGAGCAGAGCGGGTATTTATGGTGTTTTTTAAATTCACCTTCCTGTTTACAAGTAGTTGTTTAAAAATGCAATGCCAGAGAAGAATATAAATTGTCCTAGAGCATTCATGTTGAAAAATGATGCTGGGTATGGGTGTGCAGGCAGTGGATCATGGCTCTGCCCCAGCTCTAGACCATGCTGTCACTGCCACAAGATCCTGGCCCCAAAGCAGCTCTCTGCCCAGCTGTGTGCCCTGCCAGTACTGCTGGGGCAGGTCTCCATGGAAACCCTGGCCCTTGCACTGTCACAGCTGCTGCTGGGGTCTCAGTGGAAACTGACAAAGTGGTGTAGGCAGGGGCTGCTGGGAAATGGAGTCTGGCCACAGGCCAGATCCACCATTTTGCCCTCCTCTGAGCTAAAAAGTCTCCAAGGCTGTGAAACAGGAGGAGAGAGACCAGGACCAGCTAGCAGACAGCAGATTAGACCTAAAATGTTAACTTGATTAGTGGAATATCAAGACCATTAAAAAGAGAAATGATCAATAACAACTGTGGAAGGAAGAACTAGTCAACAGACTCCCTTGGCTGCCTTAATACTTAGCAACAGCTGCTGCACTGTCAAGCAAGAATTAAAGCAGGTCTTATATCCTGAACAGAAAATCAGCTGCCCTGCTTAATACACTCAACCCAGTTTTGGGGGGCTGATTTTGTAGGGGAAAGATGTATGTTGTATGTGGGCAAATAGTGTTATTGCAGTAATTTTCTTGTGAGTCATAACGCTGCCAAGCAAAAATGTAAAGTCATTTCAGGGCATTTCTTTTTCTTAAGATAATATACATGTTAGGTGTTAGATATATTATGTATCTTACTACATCTGTTGCTTCCTAGTGAAAATCTATGTAATCACAACAGCAACTAGCCTGTCAATCCCAAAAGCTGATAAGTACTGGCATAAAGGCGCACACAGGTTTGATTGCATGTTTGTTCTTAAAAAAAAAAAAAAAAAAAGTGTATGCAGTCAACTTTGGTTATGAAGACAAATCTAGTGAAACTTTTGGTGTATTAGTCTTCAAAAAAGAAACCAAACAATGTGTTTTTCATTAACTACTAGAAAATATTTCCCATTTTATTTCCTGATCCTAAATAAGATTACCTTGTAGCACTTGCAGGACTGTTATAAATATTAAGATTGTTTTTAAAGAACTTTGGGAGATGATGCCACCTCTTAAAGAAAAATGGGGGGCAGTATTGACAGGGTAGAGTCTTCTGGCATCTCTACCAAGAATATTAAAAGAAAATAAATATATTTTAATTGCAGCTTGCTTTAGAACACCAGAAAACAGCAGAAAAAGAACGTTTGTTTCTTGTGTATGCTAAACAGTGGTGGAGAGAATACCTGCAGATCAGGTCTTCACATAACACAAGGCTGGTAAAGATTTTTGCACAGGTTTGTAAACTCAACTAAAAAATGTGGACCACCTGTTTACAACTACTTCAAGGTGTTTTTAGTTATGTATATAGACTACAAATAGAGTTTACTGTTTTTATGTAAGTGTTCATGTGTTCCAGCTGGGTGGTAGGAGTGGGGTTTGCCAAGCCCTGGGGAACAGAAAATGGGTATTAGGAAGCTACCCCCTACCCTGGTCCATGGCCCTTCAAGCTTTAAATGCTGCATGTATTGCTTAGCTGGGTAGCACACTCAGTAATTTAAGAGCCAGGGTGCCAGAATGCAGGTGCAGGGAAGCTATCTAAGTGGTACGCAAGGCAATGTAAAAGGGAGGGGCCTGCCTATTGAGAACCTCCTGCCTTCCCAGGTAGGGGAGAGGACAGGATTTCAAATAATGGTTCCCCTCAGGGCAGGGGTGGCCCAAGGAGCAGCCCTCCTGTGCGTCCTGGCTGGAGAGCTCCCCTGTGTACATTCCAGCCCCTGGCCTGATCTTTCTACTGGTAAGAATTCCTTAGAAATTAATGTCTATACATATCCATAGCAGTCCAGCTCTACATGACATAAAAGTATATGTGTGAATAATAATTGTGATCTCTAGTAATTCATTTCCTTCATGAGTCCAGTCCATTTCAAACAGCTGCTGCTTTTCTTAAGCTGACTTAATATATTAGAGACACATTTTCTCCTTTCCCACCCCAATGTAATATTCTCTCCCTTCTCCATTCTTCAGCTTCTGCAAAATTGCAATTGACGGGGGCCTAAAATGGGCAGTTTTGGGTGCTTAGTAACTAAAAGCTTTTTCAGAACATAAAAACCTTGCAGCTGCACCCCTTAAAAAAACAAACACAAATCTCTAACCTGTTAAAAATAGTCTTAAAATAGATATTGTGTAATTTAGGTACCAAATCGAGGACTTGTGGAGTTATAGTAGGAGGTTTTATAGTGTTTGTTTGGTGGTGGTGGAGGTTGTTGTTTTTTAATAAGTAGCTTTATTTGGCCGTGTTATAGCTGAAATATTGTTACCTGGAACAACTTTAAAACCTTTGAAGAGACTGGCATTCTTTTGCAGAAAAACAAAATGATAGAATCAGAAATTTCTTCTAATTCTGTTTATTGGAAAATTTGAAGAAATTCTAAGGATTAATAACATCTACTTAATTTGGTTTAAATCAGTTGTCAATCAGTATAGATCACTGTTAAGTTTATACATTGAAATGCTTTGGAAGTAGAATACAGACTTGGAGTAGCTTAAATCTAGCTCTGTTCTGTAGTATTCTAAAAGTTTACTGCTGTCATAGCTGTTCTCTAGGTCTTTAAAATGAGCTGGTCATGGTTTACATAAAAGCTAAAATTTATAATAATAATAACAGTGTTCTTGGTCTCTTAATTTTTTTCCATTTTTGTTCACTTATATTGCTATAATTAGAAGTTTGAACAATTTATTTTTCATTTATGTTTCTCCCAGAAACTTCCATGAATGCACGTTTTGTTAAAAAATAGATAAATAAGAATTGCTGTCTAAAACTAGTGTTGCAATTGGCACCCTTGTTTACCAGTCATGGATTGGTCAGGGATTGACTGAGCATGGAGACTGAACTTGTTTTAGTCAGTAGGACAGAGAAGAGTTGAAGCTAGGGTAGCAAGTACTTGATATCTGCTCCATGGATTTGAAGACTATCAGCCTTTTAATTTTTATCAGTCATAAATTCATTTAATTTTCTTTTATCTTCTATTTTACTTTTTATCTAAAAAGGTTTTTAAATGAGACAAAAGGAATGGTATTTTTTTTTCTTAAGAGTGTGCTTTGCATAGTTTTTTAAGTAAAAGTTCTAGGTCAGTTGCACAGTTTACTTCTTGCTGTGGAGTCATTGATCCCCCAAAAAAGAACAGAGGTGTTTTTCTTTTATTGGGTACTTTGGTTACTTATCATTCTTCATAATATTTTAATGTTTAGGATGAAAACGGGATAAACCGTCCAGTATGTTCTTATATCAGGCCACTTCGAGCAGGCCGATTGCTGGACACACCTAGACAAGCTGCAAGATTTGTCAGTGTCCTTGGTTATGAAAGAGCTCCTGTTGTTGGAGGCGGAAGTGGTAAACAAGAACAGTGGTGCACCCTTCTCGCTTTTCTATGTAGAAACAAGGTATAATGGCCGAGTTTTATGTAAGACAATACAGACAAAAGTATGGAAGTGGTATATGTTGAAAAATCTTTTTGAATGTAATTTGTGATATGCAGAAATTGGACTAATAGGCACTGTACAGTTGTCATGGATTATATATGCTGTATTTTGTCTAACATTAAATATAAATATATGTAATCTCTTTCTATAATTCCCAAATGCTACAATGAGAGAGGAATGTTATTGTACCTCTGGTGTTCCAGGGAATATGCAAGAAGTAAGGTTTCTTTGGTAACAACTTTTTTTTATTGGACCAACTATGTAGGTCAGGGATGGGCAAAATGGCAGATCTGGCTGGAGGCCAGACTCCCATTTTCCAGCAGCCCCTACCTGCCTGTCTGGGGCCAGTTTCCATGGAGACCCCCAACAGCAGCCACACTGTGATAGCGTGAATCACAGTTTCCATGGGGACAAGCCGCAGCAGCGCTGGCAGTGTGCACAGCACTGCGCAGAGCTGCTGCAAGCCCGGTTGAGATCTTGTGGCAGTGACAACACTGTCTGGAGCTGGGGCAGAGCTGTGATCCACTGTCTGCACGCCCCTGCCTGGGCATACAGGCTGCAGAACACAGCTTTGTCCCAGCTCTGGACCATGCTGTCACTGCCACAAGATCCCAGGCCGGCTCCGGAGCAGCTCCCCACCCTGCCAGCAGGGACGGTGCTAGTGGGAGGTTTGAGGGGGCAGTAGTGCCACTGCCCACCACGAACAGGCGGCAGCAGCTGAGCTCACCCCGCTCCTGCCCACAGCACAGCACCCTCACCAGGAAGAGGCTGGCACTGCTGCTGCCTGCCAGTCTTTATGGGGCTGGCCCTGTACCACAGCTGCTGGGGTCTCCATGGCAACTGGCCCAGCCACGTGAGCAAGGGCTGCTGGGAAATGGAGTCCACTGCTGGCCAGATCTGGCCTGTTGGCTGAACTTTGCCTGCCCCGGTATAGTTGGAAGAGATGGATGTTAGACAAACTTTTGGGCGCAAAGTACCTTTCCTTTGGTGTGACAAAGAAGCAGGATCATCTTAAGCCTAAATACCAGATACAGCGTTCAGTGGCTTGTGCACTTAGTTTTATGTTAGCCGGAGGGTTGCAGACTTTTTTTCTTGCGTATTCCCTGGACTGTCGTGACTACAGAACTCCTACTCCACTACAATATGGAAGATAACAAAATTTTCTGTTTTCAATGGAAAATGCATAATATGTAAGAAAGAAAAAGAAGCCAGACTACCCACTGATTTCTACTTCCTACATGTATACAAGTAACGTAAGTTAGTTGCTTAAGAATGTTATTGTCAAAAAATGCTTGGAAATTTAATCTTGAAACTTCTTGATTTCAGTTTTTTAAACTGTAGATACCCTTAATTATTAGCTAGGCTCTGTGAAACAGTAACATAATTTGTTATATTTTCATCAGATATTTGCCTTACTTAATGTATATATTTTGAAGTACTCCTGAAGGCACCTGATGTTGCAGATTGTATTTTGTTTTTTAAAGCGTTTCCATAATAATATAAACAGAAATCCTCATCAGTATTCATAACCAGAATGTGAATCAAGAAATAAATGAGGATTTTCTCATAAACTACATTCTGCTTTAAAATCGTGTAAAATTGAAATAAAACTTAAATTTACAGCATACCTTGGCTAGAAGGAAAGGAAACAATACCCATTATAGAAGAATAAAAACCGTCAGGTGGATGGGGGTTTTTTTTTTTTCTGTCTTCTGTCTCTATCTATTTATAAAAGCATGTCTATAAAATGAGCTGTAGGTGTGGTCCTCAGCCTAGACTTGGTGGCCAGGTATCCATATTACAAATGAACCTGATTGGCCACCTTTATATTCTTCCATGAGAAGATACAGGTCAGTACATCTCCTGGCCCCACATCAGTAATAGTGTTCCTGGAATGGAGTTAAGATGCTGTGAAGTTAACTTGTGACCTTGCCTTACTGTCCTATAAATATAGCTCTTGAAAAATAATTAAACAATTACCTGTTAAATCGTGATTGAAAGCCTTATCTTCGTACATGTTAGGAATAAACTACTTAATTAATATGTTCACTTTCTAGGGTGACTGTGAAGATCATGCTAACCTTTTATGTAGCCTTCTCCTTGGTTATGGATTAGAAGCCTTTGTTTGTGTAGGAACAAAAGCGAAAGCAGTCCCTCACACGTGGGTAATGACTTGTGGAACTGATGGAATCATCACTTTTTGGGAGAGTTTAACAGGACACAGGTGGGTTAGCAATGTAAAGGAGTTAAGGTCTCATTTTTTTTGTTTTTTAATTATTTTTTTAATTTACTTTTAATTTATTATTTTTGTCCTCCAACATAAATAGAGCGTATGGAATGGTGACCCAAGCAGTGGCCTAAAAATACTAAAATTGAACTCTTATCTAAGTGGCTCAAACTTTGAGTTCTTAAATTGAGCTAAGAAAGTTCATGTTCTGCTGAAGTGCTGTGGCTTCCAGAATTTAAATTTATTTTGGGAATGTCCAGAGTAGATTGTGGTATAACGGTCACTGCTGGTTTTGTGCTATGATGCAAGTGGATGCTCAAACGTGTCACTTGCTGCCAGGTATGAAGGATGTAGAACATTTTAAATCTGGCGCAAGAACATGTGAAAATCCATCACAGTTCATCTTTGCCAAATATTCTTAAGTAAAATTCCGGTCTGGACTCTGGTACAGCAATCCTTTTTACTGGCTTGCTCTAAATAAGTCATTTCTTCTGTCCTGCATTATTTTAGGTCAATCAACTTGCCCTACTATTACTTGCCATATTATTATTTGAACTACTTGCTCATCTAGAGCAGAGGTCAGCAACCTGTGGGCCATGAACCCAATCTGGCTAGTGAATAGACTAGATCGGGCCTGCAGCAGCTTAGTGAATTGACAGTATTTTCCAGCCACAGGAGCAGAGGAGGCATTCCCCAGATCCTATAGCCTGCCCTGTTCAGTGTATTCTCTCTGGGTATTCCCGGGGTCCCAGTGCTTGCCCTGCTTTATTTCTTTGCTTCACAGCATCTGATGGTCATTGGATATGGGGTTATAGCCCATGTTTTGAGCTGGGTCACAAGTAGTGGGCCACAGTGGCAAATGGTTGCCAGCCCTTTATCTATAACTTTAGTAAATATTCTCAGTTAATTAGTTTTGCTGAGCCAAGTGCCTACTTCGTTAGTTTTTGAGGAACGGATGTTTCTCTGCAGTCTAAGAGCTTGCAGAATTTGCATTTTCTTTCTCTTGCCTTTGCAACTCTTCTGTGATTAGTCCATTTTTCAAATATTAGGAAGATGTATAGGTTTCCTCTTCCTAGACTTTTTTAGTAAAATAAAAAATACAAAATTCAAAAATTAAAATGCTGTTGACAATTACTTGGTCTTGCACCCCACTGCTGACTGTCCTTGATTTTAAAAATCAACTAAACATTTTTTTACAGTATTAATAACATTTTTTTTTTATTTAAAATGTATTTACTGGGCAATTTTTGTAATTTTCCATTAAATAGACTGGATCATTTATAATGATACCCAGTTAAGATAATGTGCGTGGTGGCAGGAGTCTCTAATACAGAGGCAAGAAAAGGAGTGTTCATATGCCATTTCCTTGGTGTTGCATGTTGCTATTTTTTCACTGGGAATTGGGTAAATTTAAATTATTATGTATATACTAGCAAATTGCCTGTCAAAAATGACCTGGGGGGAAGGCACCCATCACCCCATGGCGCCACCACCTCCCAGGAGCAGGGGGGAAGCTTGCATGCAGTGGCTGCCATGCACCACCCCACGTTGCTGCTGCCCACATCCAGTCACACACACCTGCCCCACCCCTGCTCTGCACCACCACTGCTTCCCAGGAGCAGAGGAGTGGGGGAAGCTTGCACGCACCCAGATGTGGAGCAGAAGCAGGGTAGAGTGGTGGGTGGTAGCTGCCGCATGCAAGCTTCCCCCTGCTCCTGGGAGGCGGTGGCGACATGGGGTGGTGGGTGGTGGTGGCACTCCATCCCTCCCTGCCCATCATTCTCGATGCAGCGCTAACTGGAGCAACACCCTGCCAGGAGCCACACCCCCAAGAACATTAAGCATGGACAGACAGACTAAGCTGTAATATATATATTTAGTCTATAAAGTGTCATGGATATGTTTTTTTGTTTTTTTGTTTTTTTTTAAATAGGATTTACAATATTGAGGATTTTCCTAACTAGATATCATAGTATCATAGTACTTAGGGTTGGAAGTGACCTAAACAGATCATCAGGTACGACCCCCTGCCCCAGGAACAGGTGCCAGGATCATATCACCCCAGCCAAATATCTGTCCAGCCTCCTCTTGATATCAGTAGTAGCTTCTAAGCTCTTCCAATGTACCTCTGTTAGCACAATAAGACACACATCTCTTGAATCATGGACTCCCTAATGATTTTGATTTACCTATTAATCTAAGACTATGTAACTTGCCTCAGAAGAAAACTGCAAAAGGCTAACTTTGGTTTATGCTTACTGCATAATGATATACAGGCAACCCTCACCCTTTGCGAATAAGGCACTGCATTCATGAACGCAGTGCCACAGGGAGGGGTGGGGGGCACGGCTCTGGCAGCGGGAACCTGGTGGCGACAAGCACAGAGCTCCCAAGGAGCCCCTGTAAGTGTATAAAGTGTACTTAAAATGTGGGTTCGGCATTTGCATATTTGAAACCGCAAATGCTGAACCCACGAATAGCAAGGGTTTCCTGTACCAGTGCACCTTTGCCTGAACAATGTGCCCCATACTGATGTATTTGTAAAATGTGATGGCTAAAAATAGAAGTGTATTTATTACCTGTTTATTTTTTTTAAGAAGTGTTACGTAAAGTTAACAGTGGCTTTGTAATGAAGGGTAGTGTGAATGATGGTAAATGGATATGAATTGAAGAATTAAAATATGTTTCATTTTGTGAAAGGGGTTGATTGCTATTTTTTTATTTAAATGATCATTTCCTATTGTGCATATTATATTTTTTTGTCATGTGAAGCACTATTCCTCTGAAAATCTGATAAATGAAGGGAAGAAACTGTGTTGGTTGTTTGTTGATGCAGTTGAAAAAGCTATTTTAATTGCTGTCAGTTGAGTAGTTGCTTGAGTGACCATGTTTGACATTTTAAGCTGGAAAATAAATATCTAGATTGAAAGGGGGGAAAAAACATTTTTGCTTGTATTACACAAAACATGGCAATTTTTTATAAGAAATTTCAGTTATGAAAAGGAAATTCATGTATGGTGCAACGATTTTTCATAGGGGTAGAATCTTAGTATGTCTGTGCCACCTGAATATTTGCATCTTTTAAAAAGTAAAATATGAAATTTGTTGTTGTTGTTATAATAAAGATCTCTCTTAATTGATAGGTACATTCACAGTCCTATCCATCCAGATGACCCTCCACTTGTTGAACAGCCAAAGCCAATGTATCCTTATCGAACAATAGGCTGTATCTTCAACAATCAAGTGTTCTTGGCCAACTGCCAGCCTTCTGATGCAGTGGAAGTCTGTGCATTTGATTTGCGTGATGAATCTAAATGGAAACCAATGAGTGAAGAAGCAATCAAATCGGTTTGTGCTCCAGGGGCCACAACTTCACTTCCTCCTTTCCCTCCTCTCTGTGCTTCCACAATAGATGCTGCAGTAGCAAGCAATGAGATTGAATTACAATTGAGGATACTTGTGTCAGAATACAGAAAGGTAATACTCTTTAGTGCTTTTAATTAGTCTGCCAGGTAAACCAGTTTCAGATTGTTATATCATCTTTTTGGAAAGTTTGGAGGGATGCATTTTGGTTTAAGGGGTCTTTCTTTTTTACATGTCCCCTTCAGTAGGTGCAAGCTTGCTGTCATGTAGTATACGAAACTGAAGGAAAAATGCCTGGGAAAATGTAATCACATAATTTCAGATTTTATACTTGCTTTTATTTGCATGTCAGTTTATAGGATCTCAGTCCTTCAAAAAAGCTAGCATTCTCCTTAATTGATTTTATGTATTGCAGCGTACTAGAGTTGATTTTTTTCTCTTATAAATGTGAAAACACCATTTTAAAATCAAATGCCAGTTTATTACAGAAATATTAGTTTAAATTAGATGCATCTTTCAACAGATACTACAAGCCATGTGTTTTCGTCTGAACCTTTATGAGATGTATAGAAGTCTTCATTTAATAGTTTTAGTTAAAACATACAAAAAGGTAAAAAGTGTGCATATTTCTCCATTTGAAGTCCTCCTAAACATTGCATACTTGATTTAAGCCCTCTTAGGCTCATCTTTCTATTAACTTGAGGAAGACTTTTCCTTAAATTTTGTCAGTGCAGAAATATGGTCAGGACTATAAAGTGCTTATAAGCAAACTAATCAGGGTGTTGATGAACTGTACCAAGAGTTTGCAGTTCATACTGAATCTTCTGACTTGGAATCAGAGATACGTGGTTAGGAATAAAGATGGATGTTGATCTGATCTTTTATTTCAGAAATTCCTAAAATGCTTAATTTCCAAGTTCTAAAAGTATTCTCTGTCTCTCTGATCTGGTTACTGAGAGTGAGATTTTTCTAAAAGGTTTTAATACATGCTACTTGCTTCTCCATTTCTGAGGGCTGGTCCTGTAAAAGCAACTCCTGCTTTTAATTCCTTTCATCTCTCCTGTTGACTATCTCAGTTTTGATGAACTATTCAATTGTATGCTGACATGTGAATATGGTGTCTTTCATCAAAAAGAGTTAGCTACAAGTATGTGCTTTCATACTTCATCTTAGACTGCTCTATAGCTGTTTATACATGTGGAAAACACCAATGCAACACAAGCTCAGGACAATAAGTCCTTCAGATTAAACTACATTAGTTAGTTTGTATTCATTAATGTAATGACTTCAATCACAATTTAATTTTTTGGTTACTAGGAACAACCCCACTGAAGAACACAAAGCATCTTTCATGCGAATTAATCATTACCTTCATCTTACATCCCATTTTATAGGACCTTGGCCTTACTACAGTTTGGGATGACCAGCTATCCTATCTCTTGTCACCAGCTTTGGCAGCCTATGAACTAGAACGTACAACAAGCATCTCTGCAGGAAATGAAGAGTTTCAAGATGCTATAAGAAGAGCAGTCCCTGATGGTCACACATTTAAAGGGTTCCCCATCCATTTTGTGTACAGAAATGCCAGGAGAGCATTTGCTACATGCCTTCGGTAAGGTTAAGGTATAAATTTAACAAATTACAAAATAACCTTACACTTTTTGTATTTGTTTCTTGTCCATGTGGATTGGATTGGATTGCATGTGAATTACAGTTTCATAGTTTTTAGGGTCGGAAGGGACCTGAGTAGATCATCTAGTCTGACCCTCTGCCATGGCAGGAAAGAGTACTGGGGTCAAACGACCCCAGCAAGGTGTACATCTAGCCTCCTCTTAAAGACCCCCAGGGTAGGAGCCAGCACCACTTCTCTTGGAAGCTGGTCCCAGATCCTAGCCGCCCTGACCATGAAGTAGCGCCTCTTGATATTTAGCTTAAATCTACCCTTTGCCAGCTTGTGACCGTTATTCCTGGTCACTCCTGGTGGTGCTCGGGGGAACAGGGACTCCCCCAGTGCCTGCTGGTCCCCCCTGACTAGTTTGTAACAGGCCACTAGATTCCCCCCTCAGCCTTCTCTTTTGGAGGCTGAACAGGTTCAGGTCCCGTAGCCTCTCCTCATAAGGCCTGCCCTGGTGCCCCCTGATCATGCGAGTAAATGATTAGCAGTAGTACTGGCTGGCATAGGTAATTTGTAATGGGGTTATAGAGCTTTTTACTTCTAAATCACTAATCTAGGTTAGTAGTGATTAGTTAGTCTGGGTGAAATCTGTAGTAGGTGGTGTTAGAACTGGCTTCTCCCAAAATCATCTTATTTAATTTCTCTCTCTTAAACATGTGAAATCCTGGGTTTTCAGAGGGGTTTCCTAACTACAGCAATTGAGCATTTTGTTTGCCTACTTTTTTTTTTTTTTTTTGCCTGGAGTCCTTATTTTGTGATTGTTGCCTCTTTTCCCCTTTTGGAAGGGGGATTGCTTGATAAATATAAGTAGCAGTATTTTGTTTAGTACCAATTGCTAATGTTGCTATTGCTACAGTAAGTAGTGGTTGGCAGTCTTGGAGAAGAAGTAATGTAGTTATTGATGTGTTACTAAAACATTTACATTTGAATTGGTGTTGGGGAATGAGCACTTGTCCGGTTGAAAATTGGTTTAAAGGCAGCAATACGGAACACTGCATCTTGTTGGGGGTGTGGGAGGCTGTTTAGTGGCATGATGTACCGTCCAGCAGTAGTCTTCATTTCACTTCAAATAGTGACTTTTAAGTTAAAAAAACAGTGCTGTTGCTCTGTAGTAGTGTCCGAGAAGTCAGACCTCCTAATGCATTAACTTGATTGAAAAATGTGTGTTGCATCAATCATGATTAATATTTACATATTTTTTACTAAAGATTTTAATAACAATTTGCTAACTTAAAGCTAACATTCAAACCTCATGGTTATTCACATTTTATTGTTATCAAACAGGTCCCCTTTCTGTGAAGAATTAATCTGTTGTAGGGGAGACCAAGTCCGACTTGCAGTTCGTGTGCGAGTGTTTGCATATCCTGAATCTGCATGTGCTGTTTGGATCATGTTTGCTTGTAAATACCGTTCTGTACTCTAAAAAAAATAAATAAATAATTGTCACACTTTTTACAGTGTTGAAACAACATTTATGTGCATCTGCAAAGGGCATGTTATTAGCAATCATTCAAATATGATGTTTCACTTTGGATAAAATGCTAGTATGATGATGATAGTGAATATTGTAATGTGTGTATTTAAAAGAGAATTAAGGCAGAAATAATTGTATAAAACTGTAATGAATGTATTTATAAACAAAATGTATATATTTTTGTATTTAAATAAAAACCAGTTTGTTTAAAATTTGTAGCCATTAAGTTCTGTGGTCGTGAAACTGTTTATGCAGATATCTGCTTTTCGTTCACAGCTCAAAGCATCCAGAAATTCATCAAAAATAGGTACCATTTCTATGTATTCATAGTCATCCAAGTCATTGGATTTTCCTCTGCATCCTGTTGACGACTGCACATCTGGTCCTTGTTTCTTTTGTTTTCTGGTTTCCACCTGTGATTTTTTTTTTTTTTACCAATATTGTAGAGCCCAGTCTGTTAGGAGAAAGTACAGTTTAATATTTGTCTCAGACCTACTCATTTTGGCACCTTCAGTGCTATTTCTGGATTTATTATATCATAAAGTCATGGGATATATCTCTCTTGGCAGTTTCTTGATCAACTGAGAAAAGTTCAAAGTCTGTCTTTTTGAGGTTCTTAAACACCTGTCTACACATTCTTCCAGGTTCTGACCAAGCTGAGCACAGAAAGAAGGTCTTTCTGTGCTCAGCTTGGTCAGTTGCCCATGTTAGAAAGGTAAGGCTCTTGAACTGGGATGCTTATCTGTGCCCATCTCTCATCCTGGAGAGTGATTTACCTGTAATCAGTAATAACTTTGAGCATCAGCTTGTCTAAAATTTGGGAGATGATTCTAGTTCTTCTTAAATCTGGAAGCTCTCTTGTGTTTCACAAGTATATTCAAATCCATTATAGTTGGTCTTACTGTGTACAACCACTGAGAGCTGGTTCTTCTCTAGTCAGAAACCTGGGGAATAACTCTTGTACTTCTGAGCAGTATATCTCCAAAAAGAGCAGTTTCCTTTTGAAGTAACTCAGCTGTCAGACTGACTGCTAGTGTGCTGAAGTCCTAACTTTCACAGACCCTTCTTTCACTAGAGAGTATTATGTTTATCTCTCTCAACCTGTAGCCATGACCTTTTGCATTTATAGCAAATAGGCTACTGTTTCCCCACTCAGAACAGCTAGCGGACGGTGGAATAAGAGAAATCTCATTACTGAGCCTGTGGCCACCAAATGTGCCTGGCTTACGATGTGTAGGAGAATTTCCTAAGATACTACTACCATCAGGACCTTCTGACTGAGTCCTCTTTAGTTCATTCCAAATCATGCTGATAGAACAGCAAAGTTACTTTTTTTTTTTTCTTTTCATTCTTTTTTTTTTAATCAAGGGATTTCTACTAAAGCCTAGGGAGTTGCAGCTGTACCTCATGTATTTTGATGATGTTACCCCTAATTGGGTATTGAAAGAAATTCCTGTTCCTGAGCAATTTAATCTCTTCCTCCTTGCAGGTTTTAAAGGATATAAAATCTGTGCCCCTGGGTTCAGTCATCAGTTCTTACATGTTATCAAAATCAAGGATATTAGATTACAGATGTACACCTAGGGTTCACTTTTAATGCTGGAGACCCTTACTTTTTCCCAAACCTTCCCTGGATCTTTCCCTGATATTGCCCTGCTAATTAAGTCTCCCTTGGAACTGGTAGGAACTTCATTCAAGCTGTAACAATTGTAATTGTATCTGGGAACTGAAGTCTGTATTCATTCAGTACCTATTTCTACTAGCTTCTATAAACGGTCTTTTTCCTCATGCTGACCTCTATTGTAAGGGTGAACAGAGTCACACAGTAATTGATCTAGTGATCTTATTTCCTGCCCTATTACCACATTTGCCCATGAAAAATAAATTTTAATTTGAGCAAATGTGAAATGTGTTTTTGAAGTTTGGATTATCATTTATAGGAGTTGAAGAAGCTCAACAGTTCAAGTTCTTTGAAGTCTGCTAACATGGAAAAGGTTTACAAAAATCACCACTAGTGGGTCAGACAATATTTTTATGATGTACAAAAAGCTCACGAATGTCTGGAATCTTTTGAGAGGTAGGAAGAGATGAGGTGTCAACATAAGACATTTGTAAGATGGCAATGTGATGGTCTTCATGTTTAGTAAATTGCTTCAGCATTTTGTTAATGTTGAGTTAAGGTTGTCTAGTGGTGCCTCCTGACCCTCTTGGAATATGGAGAATGACTAAACTAAAACCTTTGTAAATAAAGGAATACTAAAGTTAAGGTACATGCCACCTTTCAGAAATCACAGAGAACAGTTGGTATGAGAGGCAGCTAAGTTAACTACCATCAGATGGATTCCCAGTCTCTTGATGTTCTCAGATCAAGACTGGACACCTGGATGGAAGCGCTTTCATTAATCGTGAGTTATTAGGCTGAGTATAGGAATAGCTGGATGAAGCTTTCTAGCATGTGTTACACATCAGCCTAAAGGATCTAGTATTCCATTCATAGCCTGAAAAACCTACAATAAGTAAATATAAGAAATGACTAAGAATGTGCCCCTGAGTTTTTCGTTTGTATCACGTAC